GGGGGGGGGTGGAAGCTGGGGGTGCCTCTGGGATAGGGCTGTGCTGGCGGCATCCCATAGTGGGCATCAAGTCCCCACAAGAGACCTGCACAGTTATAGCCCCTGGGTCCAGAGACAGCAGCTGAACTCTGGCTCCAGGGGGAAGGTGTGGGGCTGGGGGTAGTGGCTGCCAGGCTGAAAACCCAGCCCACAACAGATGCATCCTGTGGTCCTCGCCCTGCCCCCTGCCTCAGTTTCCCCACCCTTACAAGACAGCCCGTGCCCAAGCTTGCCCCAGCTGCAATGGGGCTGGGGGAGCTCAATCTGTCCAGGGGAGACTGCACCGGAGTCCCTGACCCCTTCCAGACCCAACATAAGCTGCTTCTGACCCCCCCACCCCACAACTAGGCTGAGTCACTGAGCAGCCTGGATGTGGGGGTGGCCTGGCTAGAGATCTGTGTTCTCAGCAGATAGCGGGGCCCGGGGCCAAGCTGGGTATTAATAGCCACCTACCTGGGTGCTGGGAGGGCTGTCACATGCCTCCACCCCCCTGGAAACAACAAGGAGCCACCGAGGCTCCAGGGAGGGTCACCAGAGGGTCCTGGAGGCAGCAGTGTGTTCAGGGGAAGCCAGCCCCAAGGCGCAGACAGAGGAAGGGGCAGACCTGCTACCCTAGCACTGCCACCATGGGATGTAACCAGCCTCAGGGCCCCTGGGGACCAGGGAGCTGCATGTCCAGCGCAGTGCAACTGCCTTCAGGTAGGACTCACTTACTTGCCCTGAGAGGGAGACGGGGGGAGATCTGCTTTGTGGCCTTCCCAGACAAGCCCCTAGCACTGGAGGGATTGGCATGGCCCCCACAACTCCTCCTGCTCCAGCCAGCCTAGCCTTTACACCCAGGCCCGAGTGGCTGTAGGGAGTGATGGGTTTGGAGCAGGGGAGCCCCACCCTGGGGGAGCCCCCCCGGTAGGGCAGACAGGCAACTGGGCTGCAGCCAGCAGCCCCACAGAGGGAAGGAAGCCAGGAGTTTGTACCTCAGCTGCAGAGAGGTCTGGCTGCTTTGCAACTGCAGGGCAGAGCTGGTATCTGAGGAGGGGACTGGGGGGAACTGAGGCCGGGAGCAAGGACATGCCAGTGCATGTGATTCTGAACCCAGCACTGTATGCTGACCCACACCATGGGGTCAGGCAGGAGCTGGTCCAAGGGCAAGTGCCCGCACCCCTGACAAACCTCTCACCCCAATCCCCTCCACCCATGGGCCCTGGTCTGGACATCCCCCCGAAGCACCATGGCTGCCAGTCTGCAAGGGTCCAAGCCCTCCCAGGGACATGCCCCCACATTTCCTCCCCACTCACAGTCCCTGCAGCTTGGGCTGATGGGATAGAGAGCCCCCAGCCCAGACCCAACAGCACAGAGAGCCTGCCCTGACTCTGTCCACACTAGGCTGAAGCCCCCAGAAGAGTCCAAAGAGCCTGGGGGCGGGGGGTAGAGCTGTGGATGGATCAAAACCACAACTCCCAGAGCCGCTCACCCCGCATGTGGGTCTGAGGCAGGGCAGGTGGATGCTGGGCTGGCAGTGGTTCCCTGAGCCCAGCCCCAGAGACAGGTGGGATGCCTGGGCCACTGGGCCCCTTGCATGGAGCTGCATGTTTCCCAGCCTGTCAGCCACGGCCCCTCCCAGGCTAGATGTAGGGCTCCTCCCCCTATGTTGCATCAGTGCCCAGCGTGGGAATGAATGCCGCAGCATCAGTCTTAATCCTCACTGATTGAGAATGTTTTAACACCAGGATCAGGTTCCTTCTCAGCTCCTCCAGCCACAGCAGGGAGGCAGGGGGTAGGGGGAGCTCCTGCTACCCAGCTGGAGCCCTGCTCTCCAGGCAGATGCAGCCCTGAGTAACCCCCACCTCAGCAGGGGCTGGTTCCAGGGGAGGGAAGGGGGATGGGGGGGCTCTGACCTGGGCCCATCAGGATCTCTCCAGTCAGGGATTAGGGAGCAGATGGTGGGGACGGGGGAGGGGAAGGAAGGAAGGAGTAGTACTCTGTAATGGTGTAGTTGTCTGTCATTGGAGAAGCAGAGGCTGGGCAAGATGAACCCAGGTCCTGTAAGGGTGGGGAAACTGAGGCAGGGGGTGGGACAAGGATGCCTCTGGTCCCTGCTTGCTCTTAGGGGTGATGTGTTTCATCATGTAACAGCAGGATGCTGAGCTGGGGTGGGAGCATGGGGGGCAGTACTGGGAGCTCGGGCTGCCCCATCCTGCCCGTGGGGGCAGGGCAGGTGGATGCTGGGCTGTGAGCTGGCACAGAGTGGTGCCAATGTGCCCCAGCCGCGGGGGGGACAGGGGACAGGCAGCCGTAGCAATGGGGTGATGCTGGCTGTCAGTTTACCTAACAGCTTCCGCTGGCGGGTCCCATTTCAGCTGGTCCAGGGGCCGCCAAATACCACGCAGCGCTGCAAACAGAACCAGCTGGTGAGGCGGGGCAAGGGGGGGGACAACCCCACCCCCTGGTGGGCACATTCAGCAGTGAAGGGGCCCCATGGTCTCTCCTGGCTCTGAGGAGGAGCTGCAGTGGGAACAGGCAAGCTACCACTGGGATTGTACTGGGGGTACTGTATTTCCTAGTTTATATTGTGCCCCAATTCTGCCCCTTGTTTTTGAAAGGCAGAACAAGGAATAAAGATAGAATCACAGAATCGCAGAGAAATGGGGCTGGAAGGGACCTCCAGAGGTCACACCCAATCCAACCCCCTGCCTGAGACAGGATCAGCCCTGTCCAAACTATCCCAGACTAATCCATTGTCTAAACTCTTCATAAAACTACCGTCAACCCTGACAACACAGACCTAGCACCCTAACCTGCCACAGGCAAAGCAGGGGAAGCATGGCATCTAACGTCTTGCTCCTATGAAATGTTGGCAATATACACTTAAGAGGTCCCAGATACAGTCTGTGCCCCAATACAGAGGAAGGCAAACCCCACCCCAATTCATACCAATCTGACTGGGGGGTGGGGGCGGGATTCCTTCCTGACCTCAAATTTAGCATGGTAATAAGCTAGACAAGGATGTGTTTGGACTGACTTGTATAAGAGGGCTGGACTAGCTGGGACCCTGAACAGAGGGGCAAGACTCTCTAGAGAGGAACCTCAGGCTTTTTGTCCTGGTAAGAGCACTGGCATAGCCCAGTCACCATCCCCAGCCTGGGAACGCTGACACCTGGCTGGATGGCGGCACAACAAAGAAGGATGTGGGAGTCTTGGTAGATCACAGACTCAACAGGAGTCTAGTGTCACGATGAATCACAAAACCCCATTTGCCTTTCACGTGGCTGTAATAGAAGCACCAGGTGCAAGACATGGATAGCGAATCTGTCTCTCTACTGAGCACTGGTTAGGCCTCCTCTAGAATACTGTGTGCAGTTCGGGGCTCAGCTTTCTTAGGGTGATCTCTTTTATTGGACCAACTATGTAGTTGGGACAAAGTTAGACAAGCTTCCAAATGTAAGGCTTTCTTCCTCAGGTCTCACTGTGGGGCTCCATATTTTAAAAAGAACATGGGGAAGTTAGACAGGGTCCAGAGGCAGGAGACAAGGATGATACAAGGCTTCAAAAGCAAATCTATACAAAGAGAGGCCGAAGGAGCTACACATGTTCAGCTTGTGGAAAAGGCATTTAAGAGGGGACATGATAGCAGTCTGCAAACACCTGAGGACAGCCATAAAGAAGAGGGAAAGTACCTTTTTCTCCTGCTGCGGAGAGTAAGATGTGGACCAATGGCTTGAAGCTGCAGAATAAGTTTTGATTGGAGATCAGAAAACACTTCTTCAGTGTTAGAGCAGTGAAGCAGTGGAATAGATATTTAGGGAAGGTGTGGACTCCCCATCACTGAAAGTGTTCAAGAAGAGGCTGGACAGGCATTGACCAGGGATGATCTAGGGCTAGGCACAGTGATGCCTATGCTCTACTATGGGTACTTTGCTGGTTGCCACATGGGGCCAGGAAGGATTTTTCCCCCCTGTTTCTGTTGCTACAGATGTCTAAGGCTTTTTTCACCTTTCCCAGAGGCATTCAGCTGGGGATGGTGACTGGGCTGTGTCAATGCTCTTACTGCGACTCAACCTCGGAGGGTTCTTCTGGCTAGAGGATCTTGCCTCTCTGCTCAGGGTCAGGCCAATGCTGCATTTGGAGCAAGGAAGGAATTTTACCCCCTTGTCAGACTGGTACAGACTGGGAGGGGGGCGGGTTGCCTTCCTCTATAGTGGGAGCATGGCCTCAGCCTGGGACTACCTGAGTACAGTAGAACACTCTTTGAAGGCAGGGCACTGCCAGCCCATGGCTTCACCTGGAGCAGGTTCCGGGGCTCTGCATGTCTTTCTGGAATAGGGTTGCTGTGTAGCTTTGGTAATAAGCTAGACAAGGATGTGTCTGGACTGGCTTGTATAAAAGGGCTGGACTAGCTGGGACCTCCATGGAGCACAGCCAGCACTAGTTCTATGAACTGGGTGCAGGGACTCTCCAGCCAAAGGCTGGTGAAGGAGTTTGTTTTGCAGAAGCAGCCAAAGGAATCAGACTCCTCAAAGCTGATGCTTCCCCAGCAGAGAAGCCCCAATCTGATTTCCTGTGGGAGACAAAGCTGGGTTGGGAGCTGCCAGCAGTGAGAAGGCCTACATGAAAGGAGTCCTAATTCAGAGCCAGCTGTGGAGGAACAAGCTGCCCCTATTGGTTGCCAAACCCCAGCCGCCCAGGGGGAATATGTGTCCACAGCGCTGCTGAGAGCAGGGAGAGGAACTGCCCCCACCCCAATCACCCTACCCCCTGCCAGCACCCCCTTCTCAGGGGAGCTCAGAGCTCTGTCCAGGGTGGTTGCATGGTGGTGACCTTCTGGTTTAGCACAGCTCAAGGTCTCCAGGCCAAATTTGCACGATCTGTTCCAAAAACAGGGGCAAAAAGCAGCAGCTGTTCACCTACATCTAACCAGGTGTGTTCGGGAATGGGCAGAGTCTGCACTCAGTGATGAAATCATCTGCAAATATCTGTAAAACCCTAAAAACAAAGGCAACAGGGAACTGTTCTTCACCCAGCCCCAGGGTACATGAATGAGGGAGCACCCACCAAAATGAGCAGGAGACAGATTTCAAGCGAAAAGAAAGGACTTTTGTTCTTTAGACAGCTCATGATTAACTTGTGGAATTCATCACCAGAGGCAGGGAGTATAGCCAGGCTCAAAAAGGGACTAGACAGAATAAGAGAGAATCACTGAGTCCTCAAGCAGTGGGGCTGGAAGGGACCTCCATTGGTAATCTAGTCCAAGCCCCTGCCTGAAGTAGGATCAGCCCTGTCTAAACCACCCCAGATAAATCCATCTTCTAACTCTATGTAAGACGATGGTCATCCCTGACACACCAGACATCACACCTGACACTGCCACAAGGAAACCAGGGAGACCACAGTGACCAACGTCCTGCTGCTGTAGAAGGTTGTTAACATACACTTGAGATGCCAGGCAGAGGCCGTGCCCCTCTACAAAGAATAGCAACCCCCCCACCCCCTTCTCTTGTCCACCAGTGCTCCAGACAAACCTACCGGTGCTCCAGACAAACCTTGGTTGGGTGCTCTTCCTCTAAAGTGGTGGGGATCAAGCTGAGGCATGGGTACTACAAGGGGCAGGGGCAGCTTCTGGGCCATGCCCCTCTACAGAGGAAAGCAACCTCCCCCCCCACAACAAATCCATGCCAATAATCTGACCTCTGCTTTCTGCTTGCAGTCCTCTGCCCCTGCTCCATTGGCTGCTCTTTTTTCTGTTCCTGGTCTGATCTACTATTCTGCTTTCTACTTCCTACCCTATCTTCTCTGTGCTGCCTGTCCCTTCAGCATCTGCCATGTGCCACACCCAGAAGCTGCCCCTGCCCCTTGTAGTACCCATGCCTCAGCTTGATTCCCCACTCCACACCCCCACTTTAGAGGAAGAGCACCCAACCAGGTTTGTCTGGAGCACTGGTTCTCCATCAGGCTGCTGCTCACCCTGGGGTGCCACCAGGTCCTTTGAAGGGTGCTGCCAGGTGTGAGAGATAAGCAAATAAGCACAGGCTCAGGCTTGCCCCTGCCTGGATGATTCTCTACCCCCACTTCCCGGCATCTCTGCAAGGGAGAAAGCCCTGTAATCTATACAGGAGATTTTAAATTCAGGCATCACTAAATTCACACAAGTTAAGGAGGGGCCTCGAGTCCAAAAAGGTTGAGAACCACTGACCTAGAGTGATCCATCCTCCCTGCCCTTCACCATTGTTGCTTTAGAGATGCCAGAGGAGACAGGCCCAACTCTTCCTATCGGTGAATCTATCCTCTGTGAACATGTAGCTGTATGCTATTATCAGGATTTCCCAGGCTTCTGGACTTTGCTGGTTCCACCTCCCCCTCTCCGCTTGCTGCTACATATGTCAGGGTCTTTTTAAGGCAGACAGAGTTCTTTGAGAAACTGATATCTTTTATTAGACCAACTAAATAGTTACAAAAGTTTCTCTTTCCAAGCTTTTGGGCACAAATACCCTTCTTTAGGCATAGGGAGAGTCTGCTGGTGCTTGTGTACTCTCCTGGGTGGAACAGAAGCGTAAACCAATACGCAAAATGCAGATCTATGAAAATTCAAATACATGGCAGGGAAGATCAGAGGGGATGGGAGATAATATTATAATATTATATCCCATATTATGCAAATACAGAATATTATGCAAATATGAGCTTCCCTGCCACACATTTGCATTTTCACAGACCTGCGTTTTGCATATTGGCTTATACTTCTATTCCACCCAGGAGAGCACACAAGCACCAGCAGACTCTCCCTATGCCTAAAAAAGGGTGTTTGTGCCTGAAAGCATGGAAAGAGAAATTTTTCCAACTATTTAAATGGTCTAATAAAAGATATCACAGGTACCCAAAGAACCTTGCCTGCCTATGTCCTTAGACCAACATGGCTATAACCAACACCCCCAAAAGAGTGTTTTTAAGCCTCCCTCAGAGGCACTGCATGTTGGCTGCAGCCCAGGCTGGGGATGGTGACTGGGCTGTCTGCTCGGACTCAAACCTGGAAGTTCCTGGCTAGGGGGTCTTGTCCCTCTTCTCAGGGTCAGACTGATGCCAGATTGGGGGTCAGGAAGGACTTTTACCCCTGATCAGATTCATATGGACTGGGGAGGTTTTGCTGTGGCACAAGCTGCCTACAGTTGCTCAATCTAGCCTGGACTGAGGCCAGAGCCATGGCTGGACCTGCTGGGAATGCCAGGAGAAGGCCTGGGGCCAGGGCCCCTTGGATTCCCCTCCTGCTGCCTGTCAGTGATTGTTGGGCCAGGCTGGAGCCCTGCAAGGATTCCTGTCCCCCTTGGAAAGAGCTTCAAGAGCCAGCTTCAAGGCCGCAGGAACAGGAGCCCAGCCTGGCCCAGAGACAGTGTCATGGAACACTGAGCCTCATGCCCTGCCCAGGCACCTCCTAGTGTCCGGTCCGCCTGTCCATCCCGTCGTTCCATCCCCCGCCCCCACATTGCCCCCAGTCTGGATGCCTTTTCCATTCCCCTCACAGATCAGGCTGTGCAGAGTTCACACGTGCACACACACACACATACACACGTACATGCATGCACAAGCACCCCAAAATACACATATATGCACACACAGGCACACACACACCCCCCTTCGCTAGCAGGACAGCCTGTCACACGCACAGCTGAAGGAACTGCTGAGCTGACAGGGACAGTCAGCTCCCAGCCTATATTAATAGCCCTGCAGATCTCAGCACAGATCTGCTTACAAGACAGGTGTCGGGCTGTGCCCCCCTTCATCCCTGGCTGTACGAGCTGGGTCCTGTAGGCTCCATACATCAGCTGGCCCTGGCATGGAGCCCACAGCCACATGGCTTTGCTCAGGAGGTCACAAGCTCAGGAGCTTCTGAGAGGCAAGGGAAGAAGGAATAAGCGATCCTTCTTGTATTCATATCCTGTTTCTACTACCGAGTGCAGCCCCATGAAAGGCAAGTGGGGGAAGCCAAAAGCCTCCAGCGCTGGGCACGTGCTCTCTGGGATAACCAATGCCACACACATGGTGGTGAAAACTCATAGACCCTTCCTCTCTGCAGCCAGATGCTCCCTCCCAGGGATCCAGCTGGGGCTGAGGCTGGCTACAACCCAGTTTGCAATCCAATGCCTTCCCTGGCCCACGGAAACCTAAGCAGGAATCAGGGAATCATGACAGGATCCTTTGCTCAGAGTCCACACCCCCTCCCACCCTCCACACCCCCCTTCAGCATCTGTTCAGGTACGATCCTGGGTGGGGGGGTGGAGCTGAGAGTCTCTGTGTTACCCCTGGATCAAGGCATGCTGGGATCCAGGCAATTTTGAGCTTACAGCCCAGGTCTGGGGAAAAAATACTTCCTAGTGGTTCATCCAGGATGAGTGGAAGCAACTGGGAGTAGATCAAACATGGATTAAGCCAGCACACCCATACCCCTGATGCCTGTGGCTCCCAGCCCTTCAGCAAGCAAGAGAGAAATATCTAATAACCTGGCCTCAGCTTGACCATACTTTCTCATACACCACACACACCTCTTTCTCAAAAACCACCTGTTTGAAATTTCAGTGTGCTTATATGTGAGAAACATGGTAAGAGCCACTTCTACTGGTTGTGGAAAAAAATCTGCATCTGCACGTGACTCTCAGGCTCCCTTCTCTGCTGCTGCTCAGTCACTTGCTACAAGCAAAGCTCTTTTCCTCTTCATTCTGCCTTTCAAAAGCACAGTGCATATTATATTACAGGATGTATGGTACGTGGGGGAAATAGGGCACATATCTTGCTTGAAACAGAACCATGAGGAGCCCCTCATAAAGGCAGCCATGAGATAACTGTGTTATTGGAGGTACAGGATACAGGTAGAGGGAAACCACGGAAATGTCCTCATCTCTGGAGCTGTGGCCGTGGTCATCAGTGCCCCATGCATGTAAAATTACCCATGAATCATGACCACAGAGCAGACCCCCCTGGCCCCGTAAGGGTGTGTAGAGAAGGCATCCAAGTCGCCCTCCCCACTACTCACAGGTCTCTGATCCTGCTGGGCTCACTCAAGCTATTCGGGGGGGGCAGGGGCACCAAATTAAATGAGCTGCATTAAATTGATGACTTAAAGCCTTCTGTGTTTGCTGTGGTTTTCGGCAGCACCCAGGAGGTAGAGGAAGTGCACAGCGCAGGGAGGGGATTGGAGCAGCAGGGGATCAGCATCTCAGTGCAGCTAGGTTGCAGGTGCCTGGCCTGCCACTCTGAAAGGCTGCTGATCCCTGGCTGTGTAGCCTATTTTGCACTGTCTAGAACAGCCCCACACCCTTCCAGAGTCCCACTCTGAACCCCTTCCCCTGCCCAATCTGCTGCTCTGATTTCTGCTCTGTGACCCCTGCCTGATCTACTACTTTGCTTTCTACTCCCTGCCCTATCTGTCAATACTGCCTGCACCCCCTCCCCAATCTACCACACAACATGCAGAGGCTGCCCATGCCACTCATGACATTCATGCCACAGGTTTGCCACCGCCAGCTTGGAAGGATGCAGAGAGAGGCAGTTCTTCAAGTTATTCTGAAGCTAGGCAGAAGGCAGCTCAGAGAAGCACCTTAGAGACTAACTGGCTCAGAGAGGCATGATCTTCCATAGAGGACAGCCCATTTTTATCAGATGCTAAGAACAGACTAGACCCAGGTGGCCAAGCTGCGATATGTGTGCCACGAGTGGCAATGGCAGCCTGTGTGTGTGGCATGTAGCAGATCAGGAAGGATTAGGCAGCACAGCAGCAGACAGGACAGACAGCAGAAGCAGAGCAGAAGATCAGGCAGGAAGCGGAAAGCAGAGCAGCCAATTAGGCAAGGAAAGGGACTGCAATGGCACTCAGGGAAGGTGTGGGGCTAATTTGTGGCCCACCTGCCAAATAGACTGGCCCCCACTGGACTAGACAATGGTCAACCTCAACCTTCTTAGACTCAAGGTTCCCCTAGGAAAATGCCAGCTCTTTGCTCTCATTTATTTCTTAATTATGGAAAAATACTAGAGCAATTCTACTGCCCCAAAGAACTCAGCAAGCCCACAAGAAGGCAGCCCATATTTGATGCTGTGGATTCCTACTGGAAATCTCTTGAGTTGATGTTGTGAATCGTGTAGATGTTTGCAAGAGGCAAGGCCTTCTGTGGGCAATATCTTTTATTGGACCGACATCATGGCTGGGATAAAGTTAGACAAGCTTTTGAGCACAAGGCATTCTGCATCATGCCTTGCATTTGTCTAACTTTATCTCAGCTACAAGGATGGTACAATAAAAGGTATTGCCCATAAAAATCCTTGCCTCACACCTATAGTTGGGGATGGTCCTGCTTTGAGCAGGAGGCTGGACTAGGTGACCTCCTGAGGTCTCTTCCAGTAATCATTTTTTCTATGATTTCCAATACCTGGACCATCACAACTATAGCACCCTGCTGCCAGACACTACCCAAATGAGCGTAGGTGTCTGCACACCCAATATTCCCCAGCAGCCTTAAAAGGAACTGGAGACACCTGTAGTATCTGATCACCTGTCCTCATATCTACTGTTATCTTCTGGTATGCAACACACATCTTTGCTCCCAAAACCACTTGCTGGAATCACAGGACTAGAAGAACGCATGGATTTTGCAGGGAAGAAGGCCAAGCAGAAGCAAACCCCTTGGTTTTCTACCCTATGACATCTACTGGGGGAGGGGTATGGGTTTAAAAACAAACCATGCTGGATGTAACACACCAGTTGGCCCAGTTGCTGCCTCCCAGAGAGAGGTCTGGATCCTTAACACACTGAGGGCTAAACAAAACATTGGCTCACAGGGTCTGCTGACATCCAGGGAGGCAGCTCCCATATAGCTAGGTCCTCTGAAGTTGCTAGGCTACAAGCTGCGTTAGGAGGGGAGTGTGTGCAGAGCTGCTACCACCACTGTGTGGAGGCCTCTGTACCCTCCCACCTGCTTGGCAAGGCTGTGTGGACACCCTCCATATGCAGCCTCCCCTGGGAACAGCTCCCTGGGAAGATTAGGCAGGTTGGCTGGCTGGGCAGACTGGGGCTACTAGCAGCCCCCACCCGCCCCAGGCCTCCGCAGAGCCCAGATAAGCAGATATAGGAGGCAAATGAGGGCAGGCAGGAGACAGCCGATGCAAGCTGCTGCCTGGAGCATGCACAGGCCTGGGCCGTGCCTGCAGCCGGCAGACAAGGATCTGCGGCAGAGGTTACAGGCAGGAACCAGGCGTCCTCAGCCCCACTCAGGGCATGCCCCCCTTTGTCTCACACGTGCGCACGCGCGAGTTTACCCCGCCACCCTCATCGCATCTTGTGCGCCTGCGCAAGTCCAGCCTCTTTTCTGCGTATGCGCTCCCTGATTTGATCCACTTTCCTCTGCGCATGCACCCTCTTGTTCACCGAATCCACGCAAGCGTACTGGCTCGCTCCAGCAGCCAGCGCATGCGCAGTGCGCGTCCGCTACCTCTCAGGGCGGAGCGCTCCGGCAGTGGGCCCCTCCTAGCGGGGTGGGGGGGCGGGTCACGGTCCCGGTGCGAGGGGTACGCCAACGGCTTCCTCACCTCATAGTGCTTCATGGCTCCACGCTCCGCACCTACTGCTTCTGTCTTCTGGCACCCGCCGCCTTCACGTGATCGCGCCGGACCTCACCTGGGGGGCGGAGCCTCGCCCGCCGGGCCGACAAATCCGAGGAGTCCCGGCCGAGGCTTCGCAGCCAATCAGAGTGAGCGAGGCGCAACGCCCCGCCCCAAACGTCTCCATAGGAACGGCAATGCGTGTCGACGTCCTGCCTAACAGGGAGCACGGAAGGCGGGTGGAGTGACTGGGGGACGAGCCAATCGAGTTACGGGGTGGGGGGGAATGGGGCCCGCCCACGCACGTGGTCACGGCAGGGTTTCGTGGGGGCTACCGGGGGCAGGAGGGCATGGGGGGTGCGATCCAGCGGGGCCGGGGCCCTGTGGGGGCATGGGCAGGCTGAGGAGGGGGATTTGTAGGGCTATGGGAGTAGGGTCAGGACCCAGCCCTGCAGTACTGCTTCAGACTCACCCCAGACTCAGCCGCCTGGCGGGCACGGGGGTAGGGCAGAGCCGCAGCCCCGTGACTCACGCGGTGAGGGGGGCACCACACCCTTTCCGCAGCCCCAGGAAGGCTGGGCAGGGTAGGGCAGGGCAGGGCAGGAAGCTTGGGGGAACCCAGGTCAGGCCCTGGAGCCAGCAGGGAGGGCCAGGGACCCTGACCAGGGACCCTGCTGCTGTTCCCTGATCCCCAGCATGCCCAGCCCATCCACAGCTGCATTAGGGCACCCCTGGGCGGAAGAGGCAGGGGGGTTGAGGGGCTGGCTTGCAAGGAGCTGTGAAAGTCAGGGTGGATTTGCACATTACAAACTATATCTATGCTTAAATATAACTTAAATATATATAGACTGCACAGAGACTAACTGAAGTCCAAGCAGCTGCCATCCATTCCCTTCAGGGGAGCCAGAGGGGGCTGTCAAGGCTGCAGTAGCAGCAGGCCCCTGTGGGGCAAGCCACTGGGCATTATGAAGTGCATTGTGGAAGCCCAGCCACAGCCAGGGTGTAAGGTGCTGTACAGCATTAGAGCACAAACTCCAAGACCCACCAAGCTAAGACGAGACACCAGCTGGGAACGGCTGGGGGAAGACACAGGTTCAAGCGCATGGTACTGCATGATTCGTGGGGTGCTGGAGGAACTCCGCTGCCCAGAGCAGCTGGTGTCCAGCAGGTGCAGACCCCACACAAGTCCCCAGCCCTGCCCATGCAGGCTGGGAGATTCTAGCATCTGGGGCAGGGCAGAGCTGGCACAGAGATGGGGGTCCACCTGTTGTGGGGAATCGGGGAGGGCAGGGGCCTCAGGGCACTCCTTCCCCCCCCCCCCCCCCCCCCATTGCCTTCCAGGGCCCCCGGCGCCCCCCTCCCCCCCCCCCCCCTTCCCCAATTGGCTTCCAGTGCTAGGTGCTGGGCTGCTCAGCTCACACCCCCAGCTCAGGGGTAGCGGGAATATACAGAGCCCCTGGTTGGCCCCACCCCAGCTGCTCCTGCTCTGACATGCGGAGTCCAAGCAGTGCCTGGGCAGGTCCCAACCCCCACGCTAATCCCTAGAGGAATTCTGCTGGCTCAGGTCCTGGCTGCATTTCCAGGCTAAACCTAGATCTCAGAGCATGGTAAGGTGGGGGAGGGTCAGGGCTTGTCTATAGAAATGCCCCCTGCTGCTGCACTAGACTAAAGAAAAACACCTCCTTTCTACTCCATGTAGCACCCAGCTGGAGGCAGGATGCAGCCACCTCTGGGGTGGGACAGCACTGCCTGGAAACAGGAAAGATGAACAACCCAAGCAGCAACTGGAATTGAAGCTGCTGGCCCAGCTGGAACCCAGCCAGGCCAGGCCAGCTCAGCTCCTGGCAGGGGAGAACTCTGCCACTGGTAGGACCCTCTCTGGCCTACCTGGGATCACAGCTGGGGGTGCTGGGAAGGAGAGACCATCCCTGCACCGCACCCTAGTGACTCACAGCAGGATCATTTCTCCATGGGTTCCTTCCAACTTAGCCAGGTCACAAACAGCCCTGATTTTACCCTGGGGGAAACAGAGGCATGGAGGTGGCAACGTGACGGGAGTGTATGGCAGGGAGAGAACCCAGGTGTACTGGCTCCTAGTGTGTCGTTGTTGTCATTGTCCCCCCAGCTCTCGTTCTGTCCAGCTAGACCCTGCGTTGCCCCCAGAGATGGGACAAGAACCCAGGCTTTCTGTTCCTAGCCCCCTGCCCTATCCCATTAGAGTCTACTGTCCTCCCAAGAGCTGGGAAGAGAACCCAGGCATCCTAGCTCCAGGCCCCCTGTTCTAACCACTCAAGCCCAACCTCCACCCCATCCACAGTTGTGGATAGAACATGGGCATCCTGACTCTCAGCTCTACACCATTAGAGCCCACTTCCTTTCCAGGGTTGTAATAGAACCAGGTGTCTGGGCTCCCTACTCTATTCACTAGATCCCATGCCACTCCCAGAGCTGGAAGAAAACCCAGGTGTCTGGGTTTCCAGCCCCAGCCCCTAAGAAGCCCTCTCAGTCCTGTCCACTGTGGTCCTGACCCAGACCCAAGGCCTCTGAGGGGGCATCCCTGGGGCCTTGCTAGCAGCACCCCAGAGGACAGGGGATGGGGAACTACCATTCCTCAGCAGGGCCCTGATCCCTGTATCTGGGGCTGCTCCTGGCTGGTTGCCCTGGGGCCTGGTGGTTCAGAGCCTGCTGAGCCAAAGAGAGTCTGGCACTGGGGCAGGGAGGCATGTGGATCCTGGGGAATGTGGGCCCAGCCCTGATATCAAAGCACCTTGCCCAACAGCCCAGGCATTATCCACAGCTTCCTGCCTGGGTCCTATCCACACCACAGCAGCTCTGAGGCCCCAGGAGAGTGTTGGACCCAGCAGGTGACTGTGGAGCAGCTTGTTTGCATGGCAAAAAGTTGGGGCAGGATCCAGCCCTATGTTTACCTGCTGCTCTATGAGCCACAGTTCCTGCCCAATGGCTATAAGGGCCATACTTGGGACATAGTTCCCTGTCAGTCTGCCTCCCCCTGGCACCCTCTGACCCCAGCCAGCTGCTTCGGGATCAATACACACACAGACTCTTCAGATCAGGTGCCCGAGAGCAAGTGGGGCGCAGTCAGGGGCAGATCTGGGGGGGGGGGGGGGGG